AGCCCTCGACTCGTCTCGCCCTTTACTTGCCTATCTGGGTCCGAAAGAGTCCTGCACCAATCTCGCTAGGCTTGCTGCAAGGCCTTACCGCGAAAGCGCCTCTGCACCGGCCGCACAGCTGTGCCATCCAATCTTCTCCGGCTCTTTGCACTCCCGCATGGACCTTCTGCAGAACCGAACCACACTGTAACGCATCTAGCTGCACGCCGCTCACCAAGCACTACAACCACTGGCAGCAGTAGTGGCAATCTTTCCAGCGCTGAGACTCAATGCTGCACGGCTTAGTACAGTAGTGGGTGTTAGCTTGCGCCGAGTTGTGCGACAGCAGGAGCATGCTGCACCCTCGAGACAGAAGAGGAAAGCCGTGTCTGGGTGCTTTCTGACTTGGGGCTTTGGTGCTTGCGCCGCTGCTGCTGAAACTTCTCGCCTTGGTGTCACAAAGTTGCCGCTGGCAGCCTGCCCGCCTACAGTGGCCGGATCACCGGACCAACAGCGCACCTCTAGCTGTTGTCACACTCTCCGAGGCGAGCCAAGTGCGCTGGTGACCCAGTAACACCAACGGTTCCCCACTGCTCCCGGGCCCCCTTCTACGCCCCCTCTAGTTGGGCACAAGTTCCATATATATTAGCCAGCATTCCCGTGCGCCCCTTTCACAGCACAGGTCGCAACTCAACATCATCGATCGACAGGCAACGTCACGCCCCTACCTCATACAACAGCCTTGTTTTGCGTTTGGCTTCCATCACGTCAAAGGAGGTCACTCTCCTTTCTCCCACACGCATCGCCAAACCTCGTCTCCCACGCCCCCGCACGGTCCTCCTCGACATATCTCGACCGCGCCCTCGCGACCCAACCACTCTGCTCAGACCTCTGGCGCAAAATTTTCCCTTCCCTTTTAGGAATTTGTCCGACTCTCCCCTCTCAGCGCCGTCTTTGCCACTCATCCGTTCGTCGATTCGCCATATTAGAGTGCCTACAAATTTCCGCTCTCGACCTTGATTGCAACACTGTCCAAACGTCTCCAACATCGAGCTCTCTGCCCTTCTTCGACAACCTCTTTGACATCATTTCCAATCATGGCAACCGCAGCAACATCATGGCCGCAGTCCGCCATTGCGCCCCAGCAAGCATCTTGCTCACGGTCAAATTCGAGCGCAAGGTCGTCATCGAGGAAAACCTCCCGCGGAGGAGATTATTGTGACCGATTCTACGGGCATCAGGGTGAGTATGCGATGATGGCGAGTCCAGGCGGTGGGAATGATCAACGTTGACCGTCGGTCTTCTTCAAATCGCGATCGCAGAGCTTGCCGAATTGTGCGAACGCGTCATTTCTGCGCTTTTCGCATGCCCGCTCGACTCGACGTCGTCATGCACCAGTTCGTCCAGCTCTCAACGCGTTGCTCCTCGTCTTTCCGAATTCATCGCATACGCTCTGCACCGTACTCGACTGCCGCTAGCCGTCACGCACCAGGCGCTATTTCTTCTCAAGCGCCTGAAGTCGAGGTTTCCCGCAGCGAGGGGTTCGTCCGGACATCGGCTTTTCATTTCAGCCTTGATGCTTGCCAGCAAATCCAGCTGTGACGACACTTACAGCAACAAGAGCTGGACCATTGTCGGACAAGGTCTCTTCAGCCTTCGCGAGGTCAACCAGATGGAGCGCGAGCTGTTCGGTTATCTCGGATACAAAGTGAATGTCGAGAATGAGGATTTGGTGGAGTTCGTTCAGGCCCTCGACGAAGGAGTCATTCCCATGCCCTCCCCGCCAGCTCCAACGGTTGCACCCGTCGCCCCTGCCCCTACAGCAATGCCCGCAGAGCCACAAGAACCGGCACTATCTCAACAACACTCGAGCGCGTCCGCTTCGGTTGTACGACACGGTCGCGCGAGCATCGCTGGCTACCCTGTGGGGCCGGCCACCTGCCCGGCAGCCGTGGGACACGCCAGCGCTCCAACAGGTGCTGCTCCACACCTCACGCGGAGTCAAAGCGTCTCTGGTCGTCAAAGCTACCGATCACAATCGGCCGCCCCCACGCATCACTATCAGCAACAATCACCGTTCGATGCGCGAGAATCATCGCGACCTTACACGACGCCAACTCACAACGTCTCCTTGTCGGTCGCAGCAGCCGCAGCGGCGCACACAGCTGCTTTCTACAGTCATGTCGCACCATCGGCTGCGTCGTTGGCATCCTCCAGAGGCAGCATCTCGTCTTCCAGTGGTTCTTCAGAGGGATATGACAGCACGTGCATGACACCCGGTTCCTGCGGGGACTCGGCGTATTCTTCCAGCGGTCGTACCACTCCAGACACTCCACCATCTGAAGTAGGCGGAAGCCCGTGGATGAACGACAAGGCTCACCTGTACTGGGATCAATCAGGCGAGCCGGCAGGCACGTACGACAGCCATGTCAAACAGTACCACGATGGACAGACCTACGACAGTCAAAACGCAGCCTCAGTAGACCATCCTTATGTTGCCCGTGGCGGTGCCCCTGGTGGACATCCTTACACCACTTGGTGATCATCTGCTCGCAATGTCTCTCCCTCAATCGTCTCTCCGCCTTCCTCGCCGCTTCGAACAATGCGTTTAACCTCCGCCAAAAGGAAGCCTCTGAAAAGATACCATTCCTCGTACTTGCTATTTGCGATGAAGCAAACCTTCCACCTTCTTTGTTCACTCGCTCTACGGCCTTCTAGGTCGCCTCACCTGGCCTCTTTACATGCAACTCCCCTACTGCATCACTTGGCTGCCTATCTGTACCAGTATCTTTTGTCTGCCAAGCTGCGAGTCGGCGTCAAGGTCACAGCGGTGTCTGGGTCTTGTACCCGGGCAGCGTTCTCACCATTTCGTTCATTCAACACACACTGCCGGTGCTCCTCGATCGCTATGATCCCGGCCATTTGCTCAAGTTTGTCACCGTACCCATCACTGCTAATTGTCCACTGAGCACAAATGCAACACTGCTAGAAGCTTCGCCGCCTGCGTCTGCCTGTAGTGTCTCTTAGGCTTGCAGTGACCCAACGGACCGTGCGCTTGCTCGACTTCGCTCACACGGATCATATGACCTGCTCCCTGACGGCCAGCTGCTGGAGTCCGCAAAGATGACGCGTGGGCCTCGCGCCACTTCCTGGCCGACCTCATTCGGCGCCCAAAATGGCGATACGAATTGCACAAGAACCACGCATCAGAAGCTAAGCAAAGCATGACTCGCTTTTAGGGGGGGCCTTAGTACCCCTTTCCTTGGTTTTCAACGCCATGAAGGGGCCTGAGCGCGAATAAGAATCGGAAGTGGCGGGCGCCTTGCGAAGGTTGCCACTGCAGTGTCTCTACCTAGTCGCCCTGTTTGACCCGGCCCTTCAATTCAGGCGGCCCTTGCGGACCCCCCGCTTGGGGCATCTGGGCGTCTCAAACGCCGTAGTACCAAAGGCCGCCGGAGTTTGGGAGGAGCGGGTGACAACTCCACATTGCGCGCCTCGCGCTGAGAGATTGGACAGCAGCACAATCTGTGCCCCGAATCGGACCACGTCATGTCACGCTACTCAAGGGATCCGAGCGCACGCGACGTGGGCGCCAAAGCCCTGCAGGCAACGTGAGTTCCGCACGTCGTGAATCGTGAGCGTTTGGAAAGCCTCAATTTGCCGTGGACCGGAAGGGTCAGCTGGTGTTCCACGTTTGGGAGAGCAGCTCACGAGCCGCCTTCGACTGATCATCGTGAATCACGATTGGCTCGATCATCCGCCTTGACGAACGCGAACACGCAGGCAATGGCTGGCTACTCACACTCGCCGTGCTCGCGGGTGTGCATGGTTGTGTAGGTACTCAGACTCACGCGCTGACTCTGGACTCGTGACCCTCAAAGCTGCAGGCAAAGTCGTGACTCGTGAGTCGTGAGTCAAGAGATAGCATGGATGATCGACCCCAAAAGCTCTCGAATTGGCACCCTAGGGATCGAAAATTCCCGCCCCAAAGAAGTCAGTCACGTGCACAAATCCGGTCACGTGTTTGTGGTGCTGATGTGCATCCAAGATCGCTCTTGTCCTCGCGCTCACGGGTAGACTTTTGCCTGCTTACATCCTTTGTCCTCCCAAAACTTGTGCGGGCGGATACTATGAGAGGACGACGACGTCTGCGCATAGCGCTTTTTTAGGTCTCAAAGCAAATCAAGATCCGCATGAAGCAAGCACAAGGGAGTAAATAGCAGCGTGCAGCGTGCAGCGAGCACATCGACCTTCTTGTCCTTGTTGCAAACATGCTGCTCAGGTCGTGCCAGAAACCGGTTCCCCACCCGAGTGACTCAAGACTGTAGCCTCGGATCTCGCATTTTTCCCAGCAGCAATCAGGACAATGGTATGGATTCCGCGCAGATATTTGTTGTGCGTTTCGGGCATAGGTGCTGCTCACTGCGAGCAGTTGTGCCGATGCGATGGCTTGTCCTCAGGTGTGGCTTCGACAATGTCCACTCGATAGGGTCCTGCGCTAGAGGACGAGCGCCTCATCGTCATCGTCACAGAATTCGCTCACTTCTCACGCCTTTCCCGCAAGGCTATTGAAGCAAAGGGTTGAGGCCAACGCATCTTTCACTCGACTCTGTCATCATGGTCGGGCAGTCGCAACTGAACTTCGAATGCTCACTCCTCTTGCTTACTTCTCCCAGCATCTCCAGCTAGCTCAACAGTCACTTTGGCAACAGTTGCGTTCTGCCACCGTCATCACCCACTCTGCCGCCCGCACACCATTCCGACCTCTCGGAAGCCTCTTGACTTCAACATTGCGTCAGGATGGCCGCCATGAAGGGCAGCATACGCCTCATGTATGCGACCTTGCCAGTGCGGTACGCACCGCTCACGGTGGTCGCCGTGGGGCTCTCCATTTGCTCAGGCGCAATACAACCGCTGATGACTCGGATCATCGGCGACGCTTTCGACGCCTTTGCCAAGTTCAACCCAACTAGCTTGCCAAACGATCAGATTACACAAGAGAGGAGGGATGCATTGATGTCATCTGTAGCCACCTCCATCTGGAGGCTCTGCGCTCTTGGCGTGGGAACAATGATACTCAGCACATCGATGATCTCTGCGTGGATTGCCTTGGGGGAGCGGGTAGCGAGTGGATTAAGGCTGAAGGTCTACACCGCCTGCGATCAAAAGCGCCTTGATTGGTACGACTGCGACATGGGCACAAAGAGCACAGGTCAGGAGGATTCCGAGGACGGCACGGGATTCGGTGCGGGTGGTCTGATGGCTCGATTCGCACGGTGAGTGGATCTGCCCGTCCGCCAGATCTTGGGAAGACGGATATCTGACAATCCAACTCGCGCATCATGTCAGCGAAATCGACGATGTTCGGGTCGCGTCCTCGCAGACTTTTGGGCAACTTCTGCAGTACGTCGTGACGACCATTGCCTGCGTCGTGCTCGCCCTGGCCATGCGCTGGGACTTGACACTCGTCGTCTTGGCATCTGTGCCCCTGACTGCGGTCATCGCTATCGCCTGCGAGGTAATTGCAGCCAGCTCCCTCGCCGAAGAGCGCACTCTATCTGCTAAGGCTAGTGGAAACGTAGAACGGGTGGTCAACGCGATTGCGACAGTCAAAGCCTTCAATGCGGAAGTCAGAGAGCTGCGCAATTTTCAGCGCTTTCTTGCAAAGTTGCAAAGAGTCAATCTCAAGATTACCACCGTATGGGCTGTGCGCACCGGCGCGACTTCCGGCATTGCCCTCGCCATGTTCAGCTCTGGCTTTGCTTACGGCAGTCATTTGGTACAGAAGGGCGCATGTTCGCCAGGCACAGTCATGACCGTCTTTTGGAGTGCGTTGCTCGCAACCTCCCACCTTCAGCAGGTCATTGACACCCTGAACATCATAGAGAAGGGCAAAGTCGCGAGCGCCAGTCTGCACGCGCTGTGCGCGGAAAGCCCCAGCCGAGGATCAAAGACAACTAGCCAGCCTCCTGAAGATAGGCCAGTGAAGAAAGTCGGGCACCAACAGGCACCATCTGTCTCGTCTTTGCAGACATCGCCAAGCTTTGTCAGCTCACCAGCATACGACGAATTCTCCTTCATCGGCGCCAAGCCGGCCGCAGGCCCATGTCACCCGCTCTCTCCGCGGCTGACGTCACCTCGAACAGCGGTACAGATGAAATTTCAAGAAATACCTCAGGCAAGCCGACCGTCTAGCCCTGTTCAGAGCATGCATTCAGAATACGGCTCCGAGTCCAAGTTGACGGTGCTACCCGCTAGAGGTCGAGGGCGAAGCAAACACCTCAGGCCCAGAAAAGTTGGGCCCGTCGCGGCTATGCGCCGAATCCGTCCAGAGAGATGCTACGGAGAAATCACACTGACCAATGTTGGGTTCGCCTATCCCTCGCGACCTGACGTTGCAGTGCTCAAGGGTGTTTCGATGTACTTCGCTGCAGGCGAGACCACTTACGTCGTAGGAGCTTCTGGGAGCGGCAAGTCCACCATCGCACAACTCTTGATGCGGCAATACGAAATCGAAGATGGAAGCATTCAGCTGGACGACCAAGACATCACCTTTCTTGACGCGGATTGGGTGAGAGGCAAGATGGCAAGTGTCGATCAGACGCCTATCGTCTTTGACCTGAGCGTGCATGAAAATGTTGCGCTGGGGCTCTGCGGCCTCCTCAGCGAGTCCAACGAACAAGTCAGTGGTGTTTCCAATCACGTACCTGCGGTGCCGCGCGAGGACGTCATCGCAGCATGTCGAACCGCCCTGCTGCACGAGTTTATCATGTCGCTCCCTGACGGCTACGACACTCAGCTAGGAGCCCGCGGAGCAAGTCTTTCCGGCGGCCAGAAACAGAGGCTCAGCATCGCGCGAGCAAAGCTTCGAGATCCGAGCATTCTCATGTTAGATGAAGCGACCAGCGCACTAGACCCCAAAAGTCGGCTCTTGGTCAACGAGGCTGTCAAAGCGTGGAGACGTGGTCGCACGACAATCATCATCACGCATGATCTCTCAAGCCTGGGCGATGAGGACTTTGTATATCTGATGCACGACGGCCAGATAGCTGAACACGGCTTCTGTGGCGATCTTCGCACCCGTGCGGGTCCCTTCAGCGAGCTCGCTAAAAAGCAATGTCTCGCGATGAAAACAACTAGTATCGACGAAGCTCTCATCAGTCCCACCGGCCTGGATCAGCGCGCCTCACTAGCTTTGGAGTCTCTCAAAATTAGCCCTGACCATTCAAGAGCTGCCATGTGGGGTCAGAGGCTGAGTATGCTGGCCTTGCCGCCAAATGCAGTCGCGCGGGACAGTCGACAGTGGCCTAGAACGGTGACAACGTCCACTGGCGCGGATAGCGTCACACTCAGCCAAGATATCAACAAGCATGATGCCTTGCATGGACTCCGACCCCTGCAACTCGCACAGCAACAGCAGCACCGCACCTTCGAGGAAGACATCGAGGTGGTAGAATGCCTTCAAGCTGCTGGCGAATACGTCAGCGCTCGCCGACCGCTTCGAATATCTGATGCGTCACAAGACGAGAGCATGTTTCGGCGCAAACGCTGGGATCCTGAGGAGCTTAGCATCGCAGCAAGTGAGAAGAGCCACTTTTACAGCAAAGATGATGTTGTCACCGCGAATGCACGAGATACCGCAGTGGATCTCAGCGGGGCATTAGAAGTGCCCGAGGTGGCCCCGGTCTCTATACGCGAGGTGGTCAAGAGCGCGTGGCATCACCAGCCTTACAAGGTTCTGCTTATATTTGGGCTGACGACGTGCATTGCAGCGGGAGTCGTGCCTCCAATCTTTTCATTTGTATTGGGAAAGCTTTTGGCCACCATGGGAAAGGTCGACCAAGGCAGCGAAGTCATCAAATTCGCGCTCATCGTGCTCGGTCTAGCGTTCGTTGATCTCCTCTTTCGCTTCCTATCCTTCTTCACCATGGAGTTCAGTGCCGACTTGTGGGTCCGCCAGCTACGAGAGCTCGGGTTCCGACAAATGGTTGCTCAAGACAAGGCATGGTTTGATCAGCCAGTCGCAGCTGCCGGAGTCATCGTCACGCAACTTGTCAAAGACGCAGACGATGCGCAGGCTTTTATCAGTCGCATCGCGGGCCACCTTGTGCTCATCGCGGCCATGGTGCTGCTTGCATTCGTCTGGGCGCTCGCCGTGGGCTGGCAGCTCACTTTGGTGGGCGTTGCTCTAGCACCCGTCTTCATAGTCGCCGTCGCGCTTCAGTCAAGAGTCGTCACGAAACACGAAGTGCGCAACAAGACCAAAAGAGAGGCAGTTGCCAAGCGATTTTACGACATGGTCGCAAACGTCAAGGGTATAAGATCCATGGCCCTTGAGCCAGTATTTCGTGCCAACTTTGTTGATGCCGTCAAGGAGGCAGAGCAATGCGCGCTCAGAGCCGCTCCAGTCTCTGGCTTTGGCTTTGGGCTGGCAGAAGCGCTGACCTACCTCTCGGAAGCTCTGATGTACTTCGTCAGCGCGGTGCTAGTCTCGCGAGGCATCTACGACCTGGAGAGGATGATGATCGTCTTCAACTTGATCATCTTTGCGGTAACATTCGCTGGCCAAAGCATGGCATGGCTGCCCGGCTTGTCCAAGTCTGTCCAAGCAGCAGGTGACCTCAAGCGATTGGTCGACTTGCCCGGTACGTCGAGCGAAACTTCTGGTCGATCGATGCCACATGTACAGGGCACGCTTCTTTTCGACAATGTAACTTTCTCATACCCACTGCGGCCAAATGTACCTGTGCTGCAAGGTATCACGCTCAACATCAGACAGGGCGAGCGAGTCGCTCTCGTAGGCGACAGCGGCTGCGGCAAGTCTACCGTTGCTGCCCTTCTTCAGAGGCTTTACGAGCCTGAAGGTGGCCGCATCCTTCTGGATAACCGACCCGTCAGCGACATCGACACGCGGTATCTCCGAGAACATCTCGCGGTTGTGAGCCAGCACCCGAATCTTTTCGACGCGACAGTGAGCGAGAATATCGCGTATGGGGCTAGCGGTGGTACGCCGACGAGCGTCACTCAGTCCGGCCTCGAGAGAGCGGCTCGACGTGCGCATGCCGACACTTTCATCCGCGCGCTGCCATCGGGCTACGAGACCGCCTTGGGTGAGAATGCCGGGCGAGTGTCGGGTGGACAAGCGCAGAGGCTTGCTATCGCTCGCGCGCTTGTGCGGCAGCGAGCTCGCATCTTGATCCTCGACGAATGCACCAGCGCGCTCGACCCGGTCTCCCAGGAGGCAGTTGCGAATGCTCTGCTTGGAAAAAGAGGCTCACCTCAGGATGTCTGCAACACGCTGACGACGCTGGTCGTGACGCACAAAGTGCAGATGATGCAGCGGTGCGATAGGATCATCGTGCTGGAGGGCGGACGAGTTGTAGAGCAGGGTCCTTACGAAGAGCTGATACGACGCCGAGGACCCTTTGCTACCCTCGCTAGCGGCGGCAAGTGGGATGCGTGAGCCACAAGAGACGAAAACACACACTCTTTCGCATCAATGTCACCCAATCAATAATCTGTACAGTAGCTTCGCCACGATTCATTCGTGATTCCAAATACGGTCGCGGTGACGGAGTGGTCGTAGTGAAGCGATGGCATGTTGAGCAGAAAGTTGGATGATGCAAGCCTCTCGCCGATCGCTTTGTGACTTTCCTGCTCTTCACGTATCGACTTGATCACGGCTGCTCAAAAGAAGGGGGGGCTTGTATGACAGTATGTGGACATGGCCTGAATTGTTAGTGTGATCGTTAATATGATGACAAGTTTGTGTGCTCAACTACACGAATGCTTGAGCATTCGTACCTGCGTGTAAAGAGAGCCGAAGAAGGGCTCGTCGAAAGCTGAGGCGTAGGTATATATACCTTTCCTCGACGCGGCAGGCTTCAACCGGAAACGCGCCGAGATCCCATGCAGCTGCTGTACGCTGGCACGCGTGCACGCGTGCAGCTGAGCAGCCGCGTCGGAGCGTTTTGGAGCGGTTAATGAGGCTAATTGGGCTGGTTGATCGTTTAGCGCATTTTGCGGTGCATTAAGGCTTCGCATTCATAGCGAGCATCACGTCTTTGTTGTATTCGTGATTCCCGATTGCTCTTTGCGAGGGAGGACACGAGTGCAATCTGATCAAACAGGGGTGGATACTGCTACCTCTCTCTCTCTGTCTCGAACGGTGTGAGGTGGTTCATTTCGTGGTTCTTCTACTTCACTCGAGGAACTCGATGGTCAATTGGATGCGTGATTGGCTTTCAGCAGCAGGAAAAGCTGATGGTCGGGGAAGCAGCGCAGACGACATTTGAACTGCTAACCCTGCTGCTGGTGCCTCGAGCGCGAAACGCTCCGATAGCTCGGCCATCCACCGGTCCCCCAAAAAAGGCTCCATTCACTCGTGATTTTGATGGCCAGCAAGCAGACCTCTCGCAAATTTGAGTGAGTGCATGGAGACAAGTAGCGTCGGATGCAGACGGCGTGGATTTGCATGGTGATCGATCAAAAATGAAGCCAACTTTGCCGCTCGAGCCGGCGGCGCTGATCTGTCGTCCTCAATGTTGCATCTGGCTCTCTGCGTCGCCACCTCAACTTCCCATGTTCTCGCTCGCTATTTTCCCAACACCATTCCCGCTTACCAAAGACACGTAGGTCTCACTTCTGTCCATCTCACTCGTAACCACGGTACCCCATTTGCCAACGTGCCACAGCGTCAGACACCTGCTTCGTCCCCTTCAAGATGAGCATGAGCATGGACATGCCCACGATGGCTTCGAGCAGCAGCTCGGCCATGGCCGGCATGTCGAGCATGTCGAGCATGATGAGCTCTGCTATGCCTTCGGCAACCTCCAGCATGTCCATGGGCCACAGTCACAGCGATGACACAATGACAGGCATGGATATGGGAGAGTGCAGCATGAGCATGCTGTGAGTTGATCCCGTGCTTTTGCACGTCACCAAAGCGGTCCCTTCTCACCCTGGCCTCCCTTCACGCCTATCACAACAGAGGCAATTGGCAGACAGTTGGAGCGTGTTTCTTGACATCATCTTGGAGGTCAGTGCTACGCGCCACCACCACTGCTTCACGCCTTCGCACGAGGTGACACGTTGCAGCGCGCTCTGACGCTCTGACCTCCCTTCCCATCTCCTTCTTGCTCGGCATCACAGGATATCCACAGAGGCTCAATTCGCGGGTACATGCATCGGCGTGTTCATGATTGTGGTGCTGATCGAGTCTGTTCGAAGATGGGGAAGAGAGTGGGACAGATACATCGTTCGGACCGCCATGGCTCGACGCAGAACTTTGCAGCAGGAGCGTCTCAGAGCAAGCAGCTTCAACGGGGCAACTGTCCCAGCTGCTCGTCACGATCAGCCCGTCGCTTCTTGTTGTGCTGGTGACGTTGCAGAGACGCAAAGCGGTGGGCATCACGGTGCACCTTCAGGAGCTCAGAGCAGTGCGGATGCAAGTCCGATGCAAAAGGATGCATTGGCGCTGGAAGAAGAGGGAGGAGCACCCATCGTCTTGACGCACAGCGGTAATGCGGCGGTAGCAGGAGCAGCGCGCCACCGTCTCCATCATGAAAGCCCTCCAGCGGGGGCTGCATACCTTGCCAAACTCGAAAGAGCCTTTTTTGGTCTGCCAAAGGGGTCTGCAGGCGAACGAGCCTTGCGGTCCAATTGTCCTTCTTGCTTCCGACCAACGGTGCTGCAACAATTTATTCGGAGCTTAGTGTATGCGGTACAGTTCACGGGTGCAGTGAGTCTCCTACCTTGTAGAGCCCAGCTTCCCATTCATTGGCTGACGATGAACCATCACCTCCAACCGCAGTACATCGTCATGCTCATCGCAATGTCCTTCAACGGCTACATTCTCATTTCCATCGTTCTGGGAGGTCTAGTGGGTCACTTTTTCAGCACGTGGGACACGCTCTGCTTCGAGCTTGAAGAGCAAGAAGATCCCTATCTGCTCACCACCGGCGGAGCAGCAGGAGCTACAGGCTTTGGTTCCAACGCTATGGCTCCCGTCACACTTCAGCACGATGCCGGCGAGAAGACGACGCAGAGCAGAGGCCAGGGTAACGATACGTATGGTCAGCACAGCGGAGCCTGCTGCGGCTAAGCGCCCCCGAAAATCACCTTTCCTCGTTGATTTCCTGTCTCCTCATTTTGAATTGGTCCTGGTCTGACCCACGCACTCAAGTCACCCACCTGACTGTCGACTGTCTTTCTTACCCTCACGAACCTTGCAAACGTCTGACAGCACGATAGAAATGTACTAGAATGGAAGAATGGGTACATGAATGCGACGGAATGGCAAGAATACAAATGCGCATGAGCGTAAAGAGCAAGAAGTGGGACAAGGTGTTAGGCAGCCAGGTTAAACGCGCCAAAAGAGATCAGCTGCGTTGGGGGAGGCGGCCGATCAAGTCTCGGTGTGAGATCGGCAGGAGACAGCAGAAGTGATCGAAGGCAGACCTGTAGAGTGCATGATCGCCCAGGGGAGAGTGTCCATGTGCCGAACCGCTGGCACACTGGCGAGTCTCAGGTCGTCTAATCGATGGATGCGTCGGGATCGAGTACGAATTCGGGCGCGCCTTCTGCGCTATCAGACGTGCCTTCTTCTCCATCCGATGACACAAACGAAGAGTCGGCAGAATCCAGCACCGGCGTGTCCTGCTGCTCGGCATCGTGACTTGGGATAGCCGTGGCAGCTTCGGATGGTGAGCTTTTATCGGTCAACAGGCTCTGATCAGACGCCGTCAGCAGACTCGTGTCTGTCACATCTCTGCCAGTATAGTGATCCTGGGCATCCAAAGCTGGACTATGGCCCACATCGCTCGCACGGCTGCGGTTCGGAGTTTCCTCGAACACTTCCGCGTGCCTCTTGCGCCTAAGCTGCTCCATCTCTGCCATCTCTATCGGGTGCAGTACGCGTCCACCGCCGCTCAGCGATTCGTATTCCACCTTGATCTCAGTCAGAGCAGCTCGACCTCGCGCGAGCATCTGCGCAAGGACCCCATTGCATCGAGAAAACGTGGCATCAAGCTCGGCTTCATCTCTACGCAGCGCATCCTCGCCCTCATCCTCTTCATCTTCGTCTGACAGTGCTGTCGGCGCAAAGTCTAGTCCAGCAGCGTCTGCCTCTTCAGGCCCATCCATGGCTCCTGGTAAGACGCTGTATCTTCCCTCTCCCCTCAGGCGTCTCTTATAGTCCCTGATCTCCTTTGCCTGCTTCAATCGCGTCTTTTCCAGCCCCTCGTTGATGCTCAACAAGCTCTTATTGGTAATCTCCAAATCTTCTAACCTCCTTCGCACCCTAGCTTCCGCCGCTTCGTATGCCTGAGCTGGCGTGAGACCAAGCGGTTGCTCCGTAGCGGGTGACAGTAGCCCTGTCTCGATCAGACTGGCAAAAGGTGTTCCATTCGGAGAGTCTTTGGTCGCCATATGAGCAAAGCGCGCTGAGGAGCCAGCGGAGGCTAAAGCGCTTGACGTGGCGGGCTCGGACATGTTCGCGGACAGCGCGCTCCCGTTGGAGTGTTGGTTCGCGCTCCACGCTTCGCGAGACTCTTCTAATCTTAAGGGCTGTGTAGCAGCATTGTTGCTCAGACCACGTATATGCAGCTCAGGTCGGTAGCTGGCGAAGGGGGGATTGGGCCCGGGAAGCCCAGTGGGGCTTCTCAGCGGCGAATAGGGCATCGCAGAAGATCCGCTGGAAGAGTTTGCGCTGGTAGGCTCGGCAGAAAAGCCAAAGCTGCTAGACTGGCCAGCGTTCTGGGACACGCCAGGCGAGGAAGCCGGAGAGGTGTATGGAGGAGCAAGGGTCGCTGAGCTCCTTCGTCGTTCGGTGTCCGGTGCAGTGCCGAGCCTCGCCTCGGGAGCAGCTAGCGGGCCAGCTTGCAAACGCTGTTCTGGTCCCGGCGAAGGGGTGCGACTGCGCGCAATCGGTTTCGGCCTACCATCAGCTCCTATGCGAGACGAAACGCTGCTCGTGCTGGACTTGGCCGGCGATGCTAGGGCGGTAGCGGCTCTGGTGTGGGTGCGCAGCGTCGGTTTATCGTCTTGAGGTTGCCTTGCGGCGGGATATTGGGTTGGCGTGATGACGGTATTTGGCAGCGGATTTGCGCTGGCGATGGGAGAAGAAGAGGACGCATCAAAGCTGCGATTACCTGCCCTGCGCCGATCTTTTCGCTGCGTGATGTATGACGGACTCTGTTCGCCAGACGTACTCGATGGCATGACAACCTGCATAGAGGCGCGGACTACTGGAGGTGCGGCCACCGCACCAGGAGAACTGAGTGCTGACCGACTCGTCGAAGCAAGGGGTGGGAATGGTGATGCAATAGGAGCGCCTCGAGAAGTGGGGCCTGCGCTGATGGCAGAGGATGCCGCCGAGCCTAGACGTCTCAATGTGGGCTGCGATTCGACGCTGGGTGCAGGAGGTGACATGGCAATTGCGCCGGGACCGAGCAAGCTGCTCATATCCACACGAGCCCTCACATTTCCGGTGGGAGTCTTGCGAACAGTGGCGCTTGGTGAGGAAGCAGTGGATGCCGTGGGTGGGGATGCGATGCCGTGGGAGATGGCAGCGCGAGGAGCTCCGTAGGAGGAGGTAGGCCTGGATGATGGCAGGCTGCTGGCGTGCGAAGACGATGGTGACGAGGTTTCATGACTCAGGTCTATCCTACCCATCACCTGCCATGCCAATGCGAAGCAAGCGAGGAGTGAGCTGGCTCGGCCTGACTCTCTTTGACACTTCGGCGTCCTTTGCCGCCGCCGCCGCCGTCGCGTTTGCTCGAGCGTCGTGCTCCCTCCACCTCTCGCGACCGGGATCGGTGCTGCCTTGAACTCACCTTCCTCTTGGCTTGCGGTTGAGCCATGTTGAAGTGTGTGAGCACACAGCGCTCTTGGCTCCACAGTCCAATGACTCCACTGTTCATACACCCGAAGCCGGGAGATGTGATGTTGCATGTGGAGATGGGAAGAGGCGCAATGACGGAGCCTCACCCTTATGATGTCGCGCTAATTAATCCGTTACAACCATATCAGACTTACGACTGGTCCGCGTCGCGCGCACCACATTCGTGATTCACTGATTCACATTGTTGTGATTGTTGATTGTGATTCGTGATTGCCATTCAAGATTCACGATGATGATCGACGATGCACGTTGCACGTGATACCATCACGCGCCTGTCAAGATTGTTCGAGCAGCAGGCGGCGGCGTCGAGCGGGCGCGCCATGCGCAGACGCAAGCCCCTGAACGCGCGCGCCATGCCCAGCAACCGCTTTCCCCGCCAAGCAATGTGAATGATGGCGCGTGTGATGACTGATGACGCTGTCGAACCACACTTGTTCGACGTGTGATGATCAAGTCTGCTGATGAGTCAAAGTGTATGAGACTTGACTCATGCATGCTCTGCGCACCCCTCGTGAGCGCTGTAGGTTTCCAAGGTCCGCTTCGTGAAATGAGCCAGCGACCAACAGCTGTGTTCTGCCCGCCTGACCTTGCAAATTAATCTGACCCAAGACTCACGGCTATTTGTATATAGCAGTCATGAGTCCAGAGTCTTGATCGAGTACTCGTGACGCACGTGACTCGTGAGTCTTGACTGCGCGCTACACGCTACCCCTGCACACGCGCGGATCACAGCTAGCGTGCCCTGTGCCCCAATGGCAGTACTCTCCCCCTGAACTTCTTTCGAGCTGCTTCATGCGCACCTTGGTCACCACCTCATCCCTCCTCAAAGACCTGACCTTCCAACCTGCGCTTGCTACCAACGGGATCAAGCGGCTGGCTGGGCTTGACATTCACGCTCCACTGGCGCTCATGCAAGCGCCGGCTGCGAATCTTCGATCGATCCGAGCGGCGATAGCGCTGGACACAGCTTGCTTGGCAGCACGCGCTTCATCTCGGTACCTCCCTCATTCCATCTCGTACTCGCAATTTCTTCATGAAGCTCTAAAACGTGCAGCTTCCATAACGCTCTTCACGAACCCTGACGACCATCGTCACGTCTTGACGCCCCGCAACTTTTACGAATTCAAACATCTCAAAGCTCAGCATACATTCGCGCGTCCATCGCTGGTACCACAGGCGCGCAACCTCGAGCACCTCGCCGCCGTCTTGGCTTCGCTACTGTCGCGTCCCCTCACCATCATCCCAGAATTGTGTCAACCACTTTGGCGAGACCGACGCTGTAGGCACTAGACAATGGCGCCAGACCCCAAGCGTCGCGTTTCTGGCCAACATCCGCCTTTCACGCCTCATCATCCGCTGCTGGGTGTTGGAGCGTCATCTTCGAGCACCGGTGCAGGCAGTGTGGCCAGCCGAATTGGAGATTTCGAGCAGCAGCAGCGAGATTCCGTCGCTCGGAGGCTAGCTCCATTGCCGAACGGTGGAGGACGGAGGAGCAGCGAGCCTGCCATTCAGAGGCCTGCTGCTTCGCCTTCCTTGCTAGCACGCAAAGTCAGCGCCGAAGCGGATGGCGAAACCAGGATACCATCGACTTTCGCCGCTCGATGCGGAACATCGCCAGTCGATATGACGAGGAAAAATGCTGCAGTCAGGCAGCTGAGTGGTCCTCGACCGCTGGACGAACCTGCTTACGACGTGAAACACGGCCAGCCAGGTAGAACGAGGAGCATCGCTCCAGACCACAGCCGCCCTCGATGCGAGTCGAACGAGGCGAGGACTGCTCATCAGCGCGTCCGCGACTGTCCTCCTGTGCCCCAAGCGCGCGCGAACCGACCTTCGCAACCGCGTCCAGGGGTAGAGCGAAGTTATACGCAAGGCTCGTCATCCACCACACCGGGATACTACTTGCCACCCCCAGGCTACAGCGGAAATGACGGCTCCTTTCGAAGATTCCCTCCAGACTTTCCAATCTCAGGCGAAGACTTCGACCAGAGAGCGGGAACATGGAAGCAGCAGCCAAGTGGCGCTTGGACGTGGACATCCATACTCGACCAGGGTATCCTTCCAAGTTTGACGCACAGCGATTGGAGCTTACCTCAAGCCAAGCAGATTTTGAGCTCCTGGGCAACATTAGCAACGCTGCTCGCGGGTACTCAGACCACTTTGCTCGGCTACTATAGGCAGTCCAAAGCGCTGGACAATACCGTTACCAGTTTGGTCTACGCCGCCATTGTTCTTGATGTGTGGGGCGCCCTCTTGGCTGTGGTGACCATCATCTGCTCCATCACTCTGCAAAGTCCCGAGGCTTCGAGTCGCATCAACCTCGGCGCAGGAACTGATGGAGGTCTAGCGCTAGGCCCATTAGGTCTCCCTCGATTCGCCTCCACTTACGCCTCCGACGATCCTTTTCCCTCCAGAGCGTCTCGCAGCGCGCTCGAAAAAGTACGCACACCACTGAGCAGCCGGAGTCTCTGCATCTTGGATCGCTTGACATATGCTTGCGGCTTGATCATACCCTTGGGCGGATTGTGTGAGCTCATCTCGCTAGCCATATTCAGCGTCAACCAGCTCAAACACACCACCGAGCCGCACGGCGCCCCTGCGCTGTTCATCGCTTTGGGTCTGTGCTTTGCGCTGACTTTGATCAGTCTCGCGACTGGAGCCGTCGCGGGTCATCGCCACGATCGGCACTACGAGCGCAACAAGCAAAGTTCTGGCAAGGAGGACGACGCTGATCGGCCGGGCAGTGGACATGCGAGCGCAGATTGGAGGAATCGTCGCCATCATCACCAGCATCACGATAATCGCCAAGAAGCCGAAAGACGGTATCCTTGGAATCGAAATGGCAAGATTTCATCACCCTCTGCAGTTGCAGACGAGGAGACTCTCCATGACCCATTCGATGAAGAGAAGGGCTTGCTGTTCAATCAGACAGGGCCCATCTGAGCCTCCCTTTTGTCTTTCGCCCCCGACCGCTGCTCCTCGCCTCCCTCTTCCAAACCGGACTCAAAAGATCCCTCCAATCAAGTCACGCTGCTCACGCACTGCAACATCAATTCCACGGACCTTGACCTTAGCATTGCACCTTTGATCTGGATTGCTCTCTTCTCTTGCTGAATCGTCATTGAGCTGCAAGAAGCTAGCATACCTCGCTCCACCTTAATACAAAAATGACCGAGTCTCGATCGAAATTTAGCTCCGTAGACCCCAATGACGCATCGCAAGCCTTGAGCAAAGGTGTTTGCGAGGCCTAGTAGGAAGAGCGGTGATGGTACGCTGATACATAGAAAGAGAGGTGGATGCCGAGCGGAAACGCGCCAGCTCTTTGGTGCCAAGCTGCGGGTGTATGAGAAAATTGATGATTTCATGCGAGCCTAGTCGATGAGCTTGGCGTACATGGGGATCAAACTTTGAGCCAGCGTGAAGGAGAAGATGAGCTTGGGTCCTACAACGAGAATTTTGGGCACGAGACCTTTGAAGAGCGCACTGGGACCCTCATTCTTCAGCAGATCCTTGATGACGGTAAGACCACCGACTGGTCTCTCAAAGTTGGCCTGCTGAATGCGCGTTTTGACGACGTCGAGGGGAGCAGCGACAGTGATGGAAGCCACTGATCCGGCGATGGAGGCGATAAAGTTTTGGGTCCATGTAGTCTCTTTGGAGCCTGGCGTTGATCCTAGTGCTTGATGAGCAAATGCAGACCCACCAAACAAGGCAAAGGAACCGGGTGCATTTCGCATGGCGGTGGTTCCTGCACCCCGGTACAGGCCTGTCCCCTCGTCTGCCACGATGCGCAAAAAGCCTCGAGATCGGAAAGCTTCTGGGTTCGTCTGCCTCTTGATCTTTAGCACGTCCAAAGGCAACAGGACAACTTCACCAACACCGATGATGCTGAGACGGGCAGAGGAAGAGGAGACATCAGCTTCTGCGCAGAATCAGTCTCTGCAGCCTTGGAAGATGTGTGGTGGGTGCGTGCGTACGACGCCATACTCCGCCTCACCCTCGCTCGTCAGAGTTTGACAGGGTCCCAGCCCGTGCACAGGTTTGACTCGTCCTGATACCCGCACCATCCTTCTCCTCCTTCCCCCTCCTCCGCAGTGACAATAGACTGCTCACCTTCCGGCTGTGGCCTGCATGATGCTCTTGCCATTCTTCTCACCAAAAGTGTTAGTGAAGGCAGCCTTGTGGTTGCTGACCAGGTAATCGTTCACGAACGGTTGTCCGCCAAACTTGTACACCCTCTGCAGCACCTTGTATCCCGCAGCGTATCCCAGACCTGGAAAGAGGGAGATGAACTTTGTGCCGATGGGCGCGCTTGCTTTGTCCTTGAAGACGATTTGCGAGACCTGCAAAGGAGGACAGAGCGATGGCCGTCAGCGATGCGCAAACATCCCACGCCGGGCTGAATGACCATGCCAAGCAGTCTGCAAGCGCGGCGCAGACGTAATGCTAGCTAGCGAGTTGAGCGGCAAGCGTTCGATGTGCTGAGCCAAGCACGTACGAATAGCCTCCTTGCAAGCCGGCATGCTCTACGCTCGGCCTCGCATGAGAATCTTTAACGTGGCTCACCTGTAGGCCAGCTTGCTTGTTGGACATCAGCCGCTTGGCCACGGTGTCTACCGGGTGAAAGATGAGCAGCTCTGCGATTCCCGAGGTGCCGGAACCGAGCACTCTGGCCGTTCCAGAGTGCTTCTTTTCGCCCACCGCCAGTCCTGGTGCCATCTTGTCCAGCGAGTCGAGATGCTGATGAGAGGATGGGGGAACTGTGATTGCGTAGAGGAAATGATGCGTCGCTTGGCACTCTGATTCACAGGCTTGAGAGGGAACAGCGACGGATGAGAGAAGTCAGAGACTATGGTGAGCTGCTGCGCCTGGAAAGCTCCGGTCTGGCCTAGCGTACTGTTGTGTATCAGATTGCCAACACCTGCGCCCCCCTCGGATCCTGACACTCACCAAACGGCCACCAGTGCTATACCCACGAGCGCTTGTTAAAGATTCGGGATCGCGGCTGTGAGCGTGCTGTTGGATGGGCTCGCAACACAACAGCGTTTCGCGTTGACCAGTTAGGCGGAGAAGCGCCAGCTAGCTCAGGCTCCGGGAAGATCTGTCGAGGCTCGACCCGCAACTGATGAGAATCACCAGAGCCTTGCGTTGATGCAAGCCGAGCTGGTGCAAAAACTTCAAATATAGAATCAAAAGTTGTGATTTGAATTTGAGTTTGATTAAGAATCAAAATCCAGGTCAAGTGCGTTTTGAGTGCGTCCATTTTTGATCACAGCCGCGATCTGCCGAAATTCGTGATTGCTTCACTTTTCGCAGCGACGGCGAGATGCAGTCACGTGATCATTCACACCGTCGGGTGCTGGCAACCGCGCTCATTCCTCGATCGAAATCGGTATACAATTTGAATGCGCGTAGGCAGGCATCGACATGGCCATGGCATCTCGCTCACGATGTCGTCAAGCACCCAGGCTCCGAGCCTCATTCTTTCAGCCTCGAAAAGCGTGACAAACCTCTCAATGAAAGTCAGGAATACTTGATTGCAAAGTGATCCTCTCAATGATTTGCCTACTCCAAACGAAACTTCTTGACAACTTCCCAAAGCTGAGGCCAAATCTCTGCGCTGGTATTCCCCTTCAGATTGGCAAAGAGAGGCGGTCTGGACAAGGATTTGGTAGGGCTGCTGTAGTAGTCCAATATAGGTGCGACCTCACGATGATGCGTTGCGAGTCTCGTTGCGAACGCATCCTGCGCAGAAGATTGGTGATGGCGCTGCAGGGTGAGCGGGGCGGGGACACGCGAGGCGAAGATCACGTTCATACCGCGTCCTCACCACATTGTCGTCCGGTCGCTGCTCTAACGGCTCGCCAGTGATATCGTCCAAGCCTTCCTTCAAGGGCTTGTTGAAACTCGTGTTGCTAAGAATGCAGCACATCGATCAGCGTGTCTCCTCGCCCATGATCGCCACCCGTCGCAGATTCGGCATACGCACTATACACGGCCAGAAGCGGGATGCACCCATCGATCTGCTCGGAGCAAAGGCGTCATGGCGTCTTAGTGGGTCTAAGTCGGCGCGCAATGAGGCATCCTCGTCCGCGCACCTAGAATGCGGGCAAGCACCACATCTGGTGGCACATCTAGATTGATGACGAGGTCCAGTGGGTCACCTTCCTGTTCCAATGTTGAGTCCAGCAGCTTGGCTTGACCGATGGTTCTCGGATATCCATCGAGCATCCACGGCTGTGCACAGAAGAGCGGCTTGCAGTGTCAAAATCCGGCGGATAGCCAATGATTTGCAAGCCAGTGCCAAGCTTCGGCTCACCCCATTGCGCGCAGCCTTGAGATCGGACCAGATGACATCCATCATGGTCTGATCGGGCATGAGCCCTGACATCGAAGAAGCCGGCACTTAAGCCGAATGTATGCGCTCGTGCACCAAAGCAGCATGACTGACCTCCATCCTTGATGACGTTCTCGGCTTGTCGGCCTACCTCCGTCTTTCGTCTGATGTGCGATCTCAAGCTGTCCCCAGCGCTGAAAGTCTTCAAAGCTGGCGCATGTTCGACCAGCCTTCCGGACAGCGTGCCTTTTCCCGAGCCCTATCGCAGAGTAAGACGTGTCAGTGAGTCACGTCGAGCGTGCTACGTTCCATACGCACAGGGGAACCAATGATGAGGGCACGAAGTGGGCTTCGACCAGCCATTGTAACGCGTTTGCAGACCAACTTGCTTTGTGACTTGTTCTTGGTTGAACACGTCTCTGCTATCGCTTTGTGACCGTCATCAGGCGAGAGCGACCACAGTGAGTGCTCGCCTCATTCTAACGGTGGTGGTCGATATCAAAGATCACACGCCATCCGGAGTAGGTCGGGACCATGACACACGTCCGCGAGTCACGCGTGACGCGAACTCGAAACCGTGCTTGCTGCATGATGCATATGCACCCTCTCCACACGTCCGCGCAAAAACGGAATGCGGGGAAGCCGTCACCTCGTGATTTGCGGACAGTGTGTTTGGCGCAGCCTCTGCGCTAGCACGTGAAACAAGGGACGTTCCTCCTCGAACTTTGACTGGCATCAAAATCTTGACTGTTCCCTGACCTCAATGACTTGATTGTCCCGGGTGAGGACACTCGAATGCAGTCCTATGCGCACATTGAGCCAAGTAATGGCGAGTGGTTTGAGGCCTGCAATACTGGGGCGCAGACTTGCGCAGACTCAAAGTTGCACAAATCCAAAATTCAGATCGACACGAAGCGTCATAGTAATACTCTTATTGCACTCGCATGTTGTCACACCTCTTCTCAGCATTGTCTGTACGACTCCTTTGTAACGTCTGTTCCATCGTCTTGAGCTGACGTGGCATTTAATGCAAGGCGATCCACCGCATCTTGCGACGTGTGGAGGTGAAGCCTACCGCAAGAGCGCAAACGGGTCAAAGCTCCATGGTCGAGGCAGCCGCGTTGCTGACCGCGCAACCAAAATGGAAGCTCGAGGCATTGTCCAGCCCGTGGCGATGGCCGAAAGTGAACAATACTCTCGTTCGAAGCAATGTAGATCGAGAGGGAACCCAGTTTTACCCAGATCGTGGCCACTGTGGCTTCATGACGAAGCGCGATTGCTGGAGCTCTAACATGGCCGTTCCGCCCATAGGTCCCTAGCCACTTTGGCGCGCGCCGGGGGCTCGATGCAGTCGCAGTTGACTGAAGCTGCGATCTAAGCCAATTAGCATTCTTGAGGGCGACGCGGCAACGCTCTCGCTTTCAATTTCAAGCGACGACACAGTCTTCGCGAATCTTGAAGCCGTACATTTCCTTGTCAATCTGAGCCTCGATTGCTTTGAAGTCTGAGCGAGACTGTGAATCCGCATGGCCGCGAGATGTTGGACTTGTGTAAGCGAGCGCTTACAAGCGAGCTGTTGCAATCGAATCACTCACCTTGAGATGTTCGTATAGGTCCTCAGGGCTGATGAGCCCTCTAAAGTGAGCCGCGTCCCTAACGATGGTTGCCAATTCTCTTGGTGAGTCGATGATATATATATTACCCAGCATCTTTAGCGCCTCAAAATGTTGCGTCACACTCGGCTGTCGCAGCGTCAGAACAAATGCGTGGTAGGCATTGAGGTCAGCGATCACTTTGAAGCCGCCGTCGAGATTGATGATCTGCCTTCGTAGGTGCTTGGTGAGAGCGCTGGAACAGGCACCGGAGTAAGCCAAGTGATGAGTAGGAACGAGCGCAGAGAGCAGCGCTGATTACTCACGCGTAGAGGCGCATGCCAACCTCCAAGTAAAACACCTCGAGCACATTCTTGTCGGTGCTGCCCACCAGCATGCGACAGTGATCTCGTAGACACTTGATGCAGTCTTTTGCAGCTTGTGTAGGGCCAAGATCGGGATCCTGGCCAGCCTGCGGGCTGAAGTCGCGCGGGTCCTGTCGAGTCTGTAAGATGTACTCTGCCTGCCCCATCAGCAGATCCAAACCGGCATTTAGTCCCTTGGCCACGCTTTCATCGAGCGCAGCTTCGAAGCGCTTTTTCTCTCTGACTACAATGTTTAGGAAATCAGTGCGGTCAAAGTGTCTACCGAGTTCTTGATCAAAGTAGACCTGGACCATCTGCTGGATGGTGTCACCTACGTGCACGAGCTCAAAGAAGTGCACGAGCGGCATAACGTGCTCAGCCGTGCCTTCTTTGTTCTTCTCGTCAAGGTCGCCGGCTCCAGAAGCGGGTGCACTCTGAGCTGGATCCCAGCTTTCGATCTGCTCGGTAGCCTTCTGAAAGCCAGGCACAATGTGCTGTTCGGCCAAGATGTGCATCGCAGCGGCCGCGTTCTTCTCGATCTCCTCGTGGACGCGCGTGCCATAGGTATCGGGGTATTCGGCAAACGTCTCGATGCGCTTGATGCAGTCCCGATTGACGTGTATGAGCTGCAATGCTACGTCGAGTGAGAGCAGGAGCTGAAGGCGAGATAGGGACTCGGCAGCCGTCGACGGCAGTGCTGGAGAGCTGGGCAATCGGAGCTGAGGTGTGCCCGCACGAGAGGGAGCGGACGAAGAAGTCCCCAAGGAAGGCGTGGTCCTCCCGCCAGAAGTCAGTGTTGGAACAAGCGAGCTTGGTCGCGACGATGGGGCCACGGAGGCCCCTGAGCCCACTATCTGGGTTGCGCCAGTGATCGGCGCCGGCACTTGTGCTGGTCGTGCGTTGGCAACTGCGCCCCAAGCCTCTACCTCTGCGCTCCATTCATCCCTCTCGGTTTCGCCGAAGGGGTTATCTCCGAACCCGCTCGGTCCTTTCTCGTTGATTTGGTCGTCGTCATCATCATCATCCGAATCCTCACCGTACATGCCAGGACCAGCGCTACCGCCCTCAGCGTCGGCTTGGCTAAAGTCGATGTACCCTTTCGCTGCTTCGTTCGTGGCTTTCTCATTGAGGCCGCTTGGGCTTCGAGGTATCGGAAGGTCGGCCTGCTTTCTACCTGATGCGCCATCTTGTGATGGATTTGGGGTCAGCGTATCGCCATTTCCGCTGCCAGTAGCGCCACCTTGCCATCGCATGGGATTGATAGCTGACAGACCAGTACCTGCGGTCCGTACAGCTGCGCTCCCGACGTATAGAGCTGTGCGCGGAACGACAGTGACTGGTAGCAGTAGCACGTCCTTGAAGCCTGAAAGCACAGACCGCTTTACTGCTGCTGGATTTTGAGATGCAAGGAACGCCGCAGCATCCGCTCGCGTGCGCGTGGCTTCGTTCTCGACCTTTTCAACGCACGAGAGGTGCACGATGAGCGAATTGCTTCTAAACAGCCACAGCTAGCTGTCTGAACTCACATCTTCTTGCCACTTGCGTGCTATCCGCAGCATCGCTTCCGAGACCCACGCCCTTTCCTTTTCCAAGTATTCGTCCATGTGCTTCTCCCACATTTTGTAGACGACATCCTCACATCTGGTCTTAGTGACGGTCAGGGGGTCTTTATCGGTGATGGCCATCAGCACGTCGACGAGCCGAAGAGCTTGCGAGAAAGCGGCAGCGCAAGAGCGCAGGAATAGATGCTCTGAGTGCTGCTTTGCTCGTTGCAGGAGGGGCAAGATGTACGCAGAGATCTGGGGACCGTTGTGCGCTCCGGAACCATCAGCTTCGTCTGAAATTGCACCAGCGGGCTGCCTATGAAAGACTCACAGCACTCTCGGCTACGTCTCGTGCGTACCTCAAGACAGCATCCTGCGTCGGTGGAAACACCCTGGCAATGATCTCTGCTTCCTTCCCCACTGCTTCTAACAGTTCGGCCATGAAGACATCCATGGCCGTGAAGTCGAGCGAGATGCCGTCCGGTGGTCGTGAGCTGTCAGGCGTTTGCAGGGACGAAGCTTCAGCTGACAATAGCATATGCAGCGCCACGTTGCACGCATCATGCAACACTCACACGATGTTCCTTCTCGAATCGTGGTTTTTGCCAATTCTTTGCGCCTCACTGATGACCAGACCCATGTACTTCTCTACAAGGGCGTTGGCTCTCGCGTCCTCCTCGAGTGCCAGGCCAACTTCCCAAACCGCATGAGCAGCGTTTGCAAGATCCGCTTCTGCTCGTCGCACGCTACGCGCCGTATCTGCGCCATGTCTAGCCGCCCTGACGGCATCCGCACGACGGTCCAGAGTGCCTTCGAAGGTCATGAAAGCGTGATCGACCAGACTTCTGCCAGAGGAGATGACTCCTTTGCGCAGCTCTGCAGCAGGGACATTGGCTGATCCTGATCCGCCCACACCTCCCTCCTCGGCAGGCTGCAGCCACCTCATTGCGTTGGCATGCAAAGCTGCACTATGCGATAGGCCCAAGTCGCCCCCTAGGTTACATCCCACAATACCTCCGCCTCCTCCAATTTGAGCAGCGAGACCGTTCAACTGAGGTCTGAGCCTCTTTGCCAAGGCACGCAGCCTTCTGAAATGCATGCTCGACTTTGTGCAGAGAGGCAAGGCGGATTCGGCAGAGTAGCTGAACAGCGACGTCGGTTGAGCAGGCTTTTGCAGCTTCACTGGCGAGATTGGCGAGAAGCCGGATGATGTGCTGTTGTTGGAGTTTGTGCCGCCTCCGAGGGCTACGCTCGCAAGACCGGCCGCCAAAGAGCCTCCGGGTACGCGTGCAGGAGGCGCAGAGGCAAAATCGCCAAAGCCGTCGTCATCATCGTCGTCAGCATTGGCTGGTGAGCCATCGATAGAGGGCTTTGCGAAATCGCCAAAGTCGTCATCGACGTCGTGTCTAGCTGAAAGGCCACCTTGCGCGAGATGCGGAGACTTGGAGGCGTCCCCATTCTTGCTGCTGGGTGTCAATGCACCATTCACGCTCGCCTTTGCCGCGATCGGCTTGTCTCTCCTCCTACCGACTGCACGCCTCCTCCATGGATCGTCTCCTCCGGCGTCAATATCTTGGAACAAAGATTTTCGGTCCGACTCCTCCTCGCCATCCACCTGAGCCCAATCCAGCCTGTCCAATCTCTCCTTCCAGAGCCTGTCATCGGCGACGACCCTCGCAAGCCTCCTTCCTGCTAGCTTGCAGCTTCCGAGATCCCTCAGCGGCACGTAGCCGAGGATTGTGCGAATCAGGCTCTCGGGCAAGCCATTGATGGTCGGCTCCCTCTTCTCACCCGCTTTGCCCGTAACAGGAGAGGTCGGCAGTGCCTCTCCATGATCCGCGTCGTTGCCGGTGGACAGAATGACCGAAGCGCGAGCATAGGAGCCTACGCCCCGGCCTCCACCAATCCCTGGCCCTTGGAGCGAGAAGCGCTTGGTTGGTGCCAAAGGCGCCCAAGAATCCATCTTGAGCCTTCACCAAAACGATTGGAGCAGTCAGCAGCTGGTCGCAGCGTAGCTGAAGCGAGCGATTTGAAAGAGCGCGCGAGTGGCAGGCGCAAATCAGAAAAGAAGGAGGCTGCTTCTTCCGCTGATGATGTTCACGGGTTGACGTGCTTGCAGCATGGCGCATAGTTCAGCATTCACTCGTGACTCGGATCAGGAGGCGGACGCTGTCCAAACCACTCGCCCGTAGTTGTAAGGTCGAGTCTGCACAATGCGGCAGCAGCCTGAAGGGTAATATAAAGGGTGTGATGGTAGTGCCGAAGTCAAGCGGCCGGTAAGTGGCTGCATGGATGCGTTGTGACTCGCCTCGATCATGCACGCAGCAGGCAGCCATCCACGATTTAAAGTCACGAAGGCGATTCACCAGCAGCAGGAAATCACGAATAAACGAGCATCACGAATCACGAATATAGCGGGGCTGATTCACGACTGGTGACTCTGTTGTGCGAGTCAAGAGTCAAGAGTTCATGGCCCGTTCACCCGTCGCGCCAAAGGCCCGTCACGTGCAAGCCATCATGGGCACGGGTCAACTCCAAACTCACCACTCACCACTGGCTGCTCAGCTTGCACCACGCAAATCAAGAATTGACGTGGTGAGTCGAGAGTCAAAGGTCATCTGTAAAGGCTGCTCAGAAAAAGATAGCAGGGTCAAAATCCAGTTCACTGCATCTCAGCTAAGGGTTCTCTCATCTGACCGTGTGCGTCGAGCTCTGCGACGTCCGCTGACGCGCCAAAGGGTGGCACAAGCTCTGGCTTCGATCCGCAGGCCCTTCTCCTCATCCTCCCATGCTCATGTCCCAGTCCGCTTGTGATCCCAGATACATTGCGTAGAGACTGAAAATACCTAGACGCGCTCTCGTCGGTGAGCACATCAACAAATCAGGACTCCAAGAGAGCGATTCTTTATGTCATTGGGCCAGCGTACACCTCACATGCTGGGCCACACGGCGCAGCGAGAGAAGCGCGCCGCTCAGAAGCCAGACTGGATCAGGTAGTCCGCCAACCCCTCGACGACCTGAGGGAGTACATTCCTTGTCAGTCTGCCATGGCTCAGGTATCGATTGTAGAGGAGAGCGAAAAGTGCCGATGTGGCACCAGACTCACCTTGGTAGCTTGACCCGGGACGATGGGGCTGTTGTATTGACCCACCAAGACTGCCTGCGCTGTCTTCACCAGAACTATCGTTGCGCAATCGACGCGACGGGGTCAGGACTTGTGGAGAGGCGATCATGGGCGAGATCAAACTGTGACTCACTAATGCCGCCGGCCTATTGTGGAGCCAGGCGTAGAGCACGAGGAGGGGAAGCAGCTCTTGTCAGCAATTCTGACGCCACCAGGTCGAGGGTCGCCAGCAAGGTACGGGCGCGAGAGCCTGGGAAACTTGCGGTCCTGTCATCGACAACAGTCGACGAGTGCGCTGCGCCACGACCAAAGCGCTGCCTTCTGCGACGCCTCCGCAAGCCAAGCTTGTCCGTGTCCAGACTTGTCGATTCCTGCCCAAGCGACCAGCGAGAACAGATCATCGCGGCAGGCCGAACCTCAAACGGAGAAAATCTGGCCGCCCAAGCGGACTTCTACACCGCCACTTAGAAGCGCGAAGCAGCCAAGCGATGCGATGGTGCAGCTTTCAAGACAAGAGATTTCTGAGTTGCTCCGACACCTCGACTCACGCCCTGCTTTCCGTAAATGCTTCTGGGGTTGGCGCTGAGGGTGAAGTATTTCTTGCCACCCGCATGAATGCCGCCAGCCTGGAGTGGTGAGGGATCATCGAATCCACTGACGATAGCTTGTTGTTCCTGAGGCGTGATCTGAAGGTTTGAGGTGGCGATGACCGAAACGCGTCAGACGTGGCAGCAAGGGAATGGATGGCTGAGAGTGTTTAAGCTGGCCGGCCGACTCACGGTAAATCCGGCGCTAGAGGCCCACACTCCTCCTTTCAGACCCAAGATAGCAGCTGCAGTGACATTTCCAGTGCCCACCAAATTGGTATCGACGTATCCTGTGATGGAGAAGCGGGTGGCGTGAAGTGTCAGCGGCTGCGGCTGCGCGCTGTCTGTATCTTCTGCAGCTCCGACGATCCAAGTGTCGCGGAGTCCCCGGGGTGACGAACAAGAGAGGAGTCCCGCACAGGCAAATGTCGAGGTGGACCATGCTTCGGCTCGAACGCTCACCTTGCCAAGACATGATGCGATGAGGCGCCGGTGGGTTGGCCAGTGTGCTTTCTTGAGATCAACGAAGCTGCTCCCGTGCGACGTCGTGCAGTCTATGTAAGCGAACAGGGTCCTTTGGTGGATTGCTTAATCGCGAATGAAACTCAAAGGTTGAAGTGCTTTTGCGCAGTCTGGTCTTCGATGGTGAATGATGACTGACGACTGGATTCTGATGACTGACGGAGACGTGAATTCGTGGTGATTCTCATTCTCATTCCCGTTCGCGTTCGCGATTGCAAGCGTCGCGGAGACCAACACCGCCGCGGGTGTCTTCGATTGGTCGGTCGAGCACGAGCCAGCCGGTGTGCATGGCCGCGGCTTGCGCCATCCATCGCATGCCATGCAGCACGCACAGTGTTATAGATTCACAAACTGCTGCTGGTGGGATGCAAGGCATGCAGGACGCGT